TAGTGGAATAGGTACTGAGCTCAAAAAGGGTAAGACAATCCTGTTCTCGTGCTGTGGACAGAGGTTACCTGTTGAAGCTATCCCACAGCAAGAGATACTCATTTCCATGCACCTAAATATACTCTTCTCAGGCTTCCACAGTACTTCTCTATTCATGATAATGTGCATATATGATTCCCTTACATGTCAATGTGCAGTACAGCATCACTTTCACAGAGGACAGCTGCTTGTTAAAGCTAAAAATACCAATTTAAAGAGGCCCAGCACCTTGCAGCAAGTTTTCTAGTAAAAGGCCAATTTATTCTTCATCTTCTTCCTCATAGTAACGATTCCTTTTGATCTGTTCTTCCACAGATAGATCTTCCATATCTTCGCCCTCCCAGAAACCAACATCTTGGGATTTACGATTCTGGTTAGGAGAGGATTCCTTAGCAGTCTTGATGTTGGCTAAGCTGGAATGTTTAGGAGAATTTGGCTCAAGAAATTCTTCACTTAGAGATTGCTGCTCTTCCACAGCATGTTCTTCCTCATCCGTCTCTACGCTCACCTGGCCATTTTCTACCAAGTTATGCTCTACTGCTTTGCTGTCAGACAATTCCCACTCTTCCTCTACGTTTTTCTGTTCAGCATTCTGGATGTTCTTATTCTCAACCTTCTTTTCTTTCTGCTTTTTGTCTGTCACGACCTCGCTCTCCAGCTCCTCACTTCTTTTCACGATGTCTCGCTCTGCTTTAGAAGGAGAAGACAAATTCTCCGTTTTATGTCCTTTGACAGACATTGTTCTAAATGAGGCCGCTACTGTGAAGGGACGACTCCTCTCCTTCAGTGAGGAAGATCTTCTTAACTTTTTGAGATCCAGATCCACATCCTCCTGCACATCTGGCTTAGAAAGCTCTTCTTCTGGGGGCCATTTGGGTTTGAACACTTTGATGCCTTCATCTAAGGCACTTCCTTGAATACTTTGGTCAGATGGAGGTGGCCAGGCAATCCTGAGCTTTTTCGTTTCCGCCGGTCTCTCTTCTCTTTCAGGCAAAGCTGAAGCTTTTGCCTCCATGCTTGCTGCCAGAACTCCCACTTTTGCAATTGGGGCATCCTCTACTCCAGGACTTTGAGGACTTTCTGCTGCATGTGCCACATGGACAGTTTTCTCCAGGGATTCTTCACATTCAGTTTTGCTTGCCCATAATTCCTTATGCTGTTTGTGTCCAAAGCCTTCATCATAGTTACCTTTAGCTTTGAAGAGCTGATTGAAGTGGGGCTTGCAGTAAATGTTCCCACGCAGAGATGCATATGTCCCAAGACTGTTCAGAAAGATATTAAGTCAAATGTTAACATTCCATATCTCAGCCGCTAAGCAAGGTGTACAATTTAGTTCTGTTACTGAAGAGATTCAATTTCAGTCTTGCAACATGTTTAGAAAAGACAAACTTTACAGCGGTCCCAGCTTCCATGGGCTTGGACGGTCATCTTTTCAAACTTCAGGAGTTCTCTACAATTATATTTTTCCCCACATAAAATGACCTTAAGCGTTTAAAATAGATTGCAGCAGTTGCAAAGGCTACTGGCAGAATAGGATTATAATACCATTCCTATGCGCCTGTTCAATCCACAGGATTAAAGTTGCCTTCACCTTTGCTAAGTCTGAACAGCATCTTATTCAACATCTGAGAATAGGAAAGCTGAACTTCCTAGAAGGCAGCCAAATGTAGCAGTATGTTTACCTGAGTTTACTGTTGCAGTAGGAACAGCGGAAACAGCTGATGTGAAACACCTGCTGGTTGGCAAAGAGCCTCTCCATTGGGTACACTGTCTTCTGACACCCAACGCAGATTTCCTTCACTGGCAACTGAAACTTCTAAGGGAAGAAGAGAAAGCTGGTTAACTGGAAAACACATCAACTGCTATGAGATTTGGCTTGAGTTCATACACAGCTTGCCAAGTTCTCAGGAAGTTTGCAACATTTCACTTGCCCACCAGAACCCCCTGTACCATAACTAGCAATGGATTACTGCAACAAGTGAAGAAAAGGATACAGCAGGCCCTAGGATTGCCTTGGCTTGGCAGTTACCCAGGATTTTTCCCCAGGCTGAAGCATCACTAGTTAAGTAGCGTTTGAAAAGCAGCAATGGAAATGCTAGAGTTCTCAGTCATAACTTGGACAGAGCCAGTTCTCAGAAAGCTATCTTATTTCTGCAACCTGAAGTTCTCTTTGTTGGAAATACTGGAAATATTAAGGTACATTACAATCAGCGTGAGATTTATCAAAATCAAAGAATTTAGCATAGGAAAAGAGCCAAAGCAACCTCAGAAGAAAAGGCAGAGGATGGGGAAAGAATAGGAGTGGAACAGGCTGCTCAGCAGTTTGAAACAATCCAATTTTGCTAAATGCTCTCCTCTTTTAAAGGAGGAAAAGTAGTCTCAGCAAAGATGCAGGCAACAGGAAACATTTCTGACTTCGTTTGTAAGCAATTCCAATTCTGTAGCAAAGAAACTATACTCAGGTTTCAAGACACACAGCCCTCAAATTTACTCGAGACTTAATGTTAGCGGGGTTTTGACATTAGGCAACTAGAATTGTTTATGTACTCATGAAGAGAATTTCCTGAGAGTTTAGTGCAAGGGTAAACTGAAACGCTAAGGAGTCAAGTGTCACTACTAAGCTGTATGGGAATAGTTTCAGATTTTGTTTTCTGACAGCAACAAGGAAGCAAGTACATTGTCCATGAAAAAAGGTCACTTGATGCTGTTCACTTCTTGGAATCTATTAAGGTTGACCAGTAGGAAACACATTTTAATATAAGAAAAAAAAATAACAGGAAGATGAAAAAATTGGTGGTTTTGGACTGCATGTTGATTGCAGCAGGGTAAAAGAGTGCCTAGGCTCCGTTATCCATGGATATGCAGAGACATACTGATATTGTAGGGTTTTTGTTTGTTTGCTTTGTTTTCGGTGTGTTTGTGTTTTTAGACAAAGAATGACCTGCTAACAAACTTACTAAAAAGCTTTGAGGAAAAATATGATGGTTAAAGAAAAAACAGGAAGGTCACAGGAAGACAAATAATTACAGCAATTTATTTATAACAGACTAGAAACAATGGTTAGGCAATGAAAGTTACAATATGTGAGGGACAGATTGCTGAAGACAGAGCCAGCTGAAGTCAGTTTGTCACAACCATAAAGTTTGCTGCAAATTTAATTCCAGTTTAATAGGTGTTTGTTTTTGTCTTTTAATTTAAGTTTAAGGCATTGTTTGAAGTTATACTGAAGTTCAAATTATGATGACAGCTTGACCAACAAAAGCTTGTAATCTCAGCATTCAGAGCTCCTTTTGGAAAAAAATAAAAATAAAAGTGAGTGTTGCCAAAACTGCATATGAATTCTCGATGCTGAGTTCCGAAATGCAATCTCAAACATGAGATAATTTACTGACCTAAACAAAAATCTAATCATTCACACTTGCCACAGGGAGCAAGGCAGTAACAATTTGCTTGCCCATCAAAAAAGACTCTTCCCAGGAGCTGAGTTTTGCAAGAACACCTTACAGTGCTGGCATGTGCTTCTGCAATGCACATCCCCATCTATAGGAGGAACTTACTTGTATAACAATGAGCCCTGTGTCTGATGGAGAGGTGTTTTGGGGTGTGAAGAGAAAGAAATTTCTTTCCAGGCATACTACAGATAGGAGCTACAGGAGGCAGATGAGGCCCAATTAATATAAAAAATTGAGAGAAAGCTGAGAGTTGAGCTCACATTAGGAGGGAAGCAGAAGGCAGGAGTAGAGATTGGGAACCAAGAACAGGAAACAGAAGCTGGAAGAGACAAATAGGAACCTTACATGAATAAACAGCATCTAGGTTTCTATCTGAGCAGTGCAGCATCAAAAGTAGTAACAAGGTAGAGGACTAAAATAGTTCTAATACTATATAACCAGATTGTACAGGGGACCAAAACACATAGCTTGCATGCATCTTGTATGCTTTAACAGACTGGAATTATAGAAAAGCTATAGGTAGCTCTAATGTCACATACTGGCATTTATACTCCAGAACACTAGGAAGCCACATCTCGCTCGTCTTGGTGAGGTCAGTGCTGTTCCTTTCAAAGATGGGGAAAACAACAAAAGCACAGTTGTTTCCTCAAGAGTGAGCCAGGAAGTCTGTGGCAGCACAGGGAACAGGCATCCTAACTCCAGGCAGCACACGTGACAAGCAAGTACAGCGTGATCAAAACGTTTGGCACTGCAGTTTGTGTGTTTAATAAGATTAGCAAATACATTCCTATCCAAGACGTTCTCCACCTGCTTTATGCTTTAGAGCTCCTGCTAAAGAAAATTTAACATTAAAGCCTTGTTATTCAGCATGCCAAACTCTAGCTTTGTTGAGTCACACGCTAAATTGCCCTTACTGTAAAGTTTCTACCAATTGCGGTTGCTTTGGGAACAGCTGGAAGAGGAAGGCGGAGAGCCAGATCCCAGCCTGCTGAAGGCTCTGAAGATCAGTATCAGGACCCTCAGTGCCAATCTCTAGAAACCCTGACTTTACCAGAGGCACAGACAAGCCCCGATAGGATCTGCATCTTGACTTCCCTGCTCAAACCTCTTTTCCCGTACTTAAGAGAAGCAGACTGCCACTATCACAGGGACACACTGTTCTAACAGCAGCAGGGCAACTCCCAGCAAGCAATTCAAACTTCATCTTTGAAGAAAAACCTACCGCTTTGAGATATTTTTCCATTCTGAATTTAAGTTCCCTCGTGAACACAGTCTGATGAAGATTATCAGATATCAATATAGTCATTGCCAGATTCTTTGTGAGCACATTGATTGGTTGTATAAAGGCTTTTCAGCAATAGCAAAGAAAGTTGATTTTAACCATTGCTAATATTTAAGCACAAGTAGCTGCTTTACCTTCACTGCTTTTGGCAGAGATGCATCTGTCTGGCCAAGTGGTTTGGAACCAAAGTTTTGCTGTTTTGTGTTGACAGGTTTCTGAACTTCTGTCTCGCTCTCTAAGTTGAGTCCAACTAAGGAAGAAGAGCAGGAAGAAAAAATAACTCAGTGATCTGAAAACCATGGAAAGCTTATTCTGGTAAGGCTGAACGGCAATCCTACCAGCTCAGGGCCCCGACATTTGTTCTTGAACATCTGTTATTAAATCTTTAGATCTAGATCAAGCAAATATACTCTTCTCGCTTACCAGTGTTCGTACAGATAAAAGTTGCATTGATATATAGAAGAAACTAATATACAGTGATCCAACGTCTAACTCCCAGGAACTATTTTTCATTTCTGCAGAGTGCTCAAGTGAGAACTTAAACAGGTATAAAGCTAAAGCAACATGAGAACACGTTTAAGCCCTTTACTCAATAGGGACTTCTGTACCCGGGCACAACACTAAAGATATTTAGTAATTGTCCTGCATTAATAATTACATTCAGACTATTGATTGATGTAGTATTTACACTAGTTTAAGTCCAAATGGTGAGGAAGCTACACTTAAATAGGTTAAGTCAGAGCAAATGAGTTACACATGTCTTAGAATTACAATTACAAACCAATTTCTAAACCTGAAGAATTTCTTTATAGAGTTAGGCACAGGACAGATTTTTAGTAAAAGGCAGATTTTTACTGGGTCAAATTCATCACTTGGCAAGAGTGACCTTAAACTCTGCCCTTTGCGTGTATGATGCTTAACACTTTTCCTCAGCCATGCACTCTACTCTTATTGAGGCAGGAGAACGGGGGTGCTTACTGTTGCCATCCTCTGAAAAACCTGAATGGAAACGCGAGCTGTTCTCACCTACAGGAGCCTGCAAGAGAAGGTTATACAATGAGCACCTTTGACCTTCACAAGTCTGAATAATCATGGCCCGAGTAACACAACAGGCAATTTGACAGAACAAGGCACTTAAAGAGGAAGACACTGGCCACATTGAAGTACACATGAAGCTACTTGCTGTTCTGTAAGGCACAAGACTGCCAAGAATGTTTAGTCCTTGCCACAAGGCAGACATCCTCACAACTTCACACCTCTTGCAGTATTCAGAGCATCTGTTGTAGTGTTCACACAAACATCATACTTTTTGTGTTCCCAAACACCTGCAGCTTGTACACCTCTATGTATTAGTCTTCAGAAAGCCCTGTTGATTTTGCTGGTGTACTTCCTAGGTTTTCTTACTAAGAAATGCCTTGCCACCAAGGAACACACACTTACTGGAATTGTTTTGACTTCCTCTGAGATTTGTCAAATCCGAGATTGAAACATTAAACACACACAGTACTTCTGGGGGGGGAGGGAGAAGAAGGAGAAAAAAAAAAAAAAAAAAAGAGCTGAATTTTCAAAAAAGTTTTCTAGAACTAAATGTTTGGTGTTCCCAGGTTGGAACATGCCTGGACCTATCCCATTCAGCCTACTTTAGAAATATTCACTTTTTTTAAACTAACTATATAAGTCAAGTAGAAACCAGTTTCAGATACTAAGTGTGTTACAGATCAAGCTCTTGATGTAGATTTCTTAGTTAAGCGTGGCCGTATTGCTGTTAAGTCAAATACGGCTGGACGTAGTGACACTGAGAAACTAAAGTACTGTACCAAGATTAGCTGCAGAACATCACAAATTCACTTTAATGGTTGAAAGGTTCATTGTAAACAATTGAAGTTTGCAAATTAATGCAGTAATGAGGAAACAAGTTATATAAAATAACATATTTTGTTCTATTGAAAAGAACAGCTTTAACACTAGCATACTGGGAAGTGCAGCAGCATGCTGTGTCTGTAAGAGTCCAAGTGGCTGCTTTCTAACTCTTTCATGAATTTTGTGTTGAAGTGACAGAAAAGGCTAGCAAGTTTGTTTCCTCTTTTTGCCAGAGGATTCCTATTTCTTTCATTTACCACTAAGAGTTTTAATTAGACCTAATAGCAAAGTTTATTCTGTAATTTCAAAACAACAACCATCACTCAAAAAAACTGTTCTGTTCAGGTTCTTTACCATGCTTAGACCCCTCAACAGGATGCAACACAATAAGAATGTCAATAAAGTAAACTGAATAAGATTTCTTGTATTCAGCAGTAATTGTCAAATCTTCCATTCAACAGCAGGGACATATTCTGATTTAACAGGTGTTCTTTTAATTAACTCACCTTTTAGCAAAAAGCAGCCTCCACCAATTAAACATGAAGCTGCTCAGCTGTCAGTGAGGAACAGCTGAAAGCAACAATTTGGCCCTCTGCCCAAGGAAGGCTGGAAAGCTCTAAAAGCCCTCCTGGCATTAGGCTGCCACGTGTTCAGAATGGCTGGAATACACAATACCCCAATTATTATTCAGCTACTTTTATCCCTTCTGCTCTCCCCAATTTAGAATACAAATGTCTGAGCATGCTTTAATATCCCTGTATTCAAAGAGTAGTTTAGTCTCAATTTACAGCTGAAGCTCAAAAAAGAGGAACAAACCCAAACTGGCATTCTAAGTTACATTAATCAAAATGTAGCCACTAAATGCAGGAGAAGCAATGACCCACTCCCTTTGCTTGTGTCACACAAAGCTTTACATATGTATATTAAAAAAAAAACACACACACGAAACTCCCACACAAATACCTACCTCTGAGTCATCATTTTTACAAGTAGGGAACGTGACACAACAAAAGTTTAGGTAGCTTTCCCAAAGTCATCAAGTATTAATGGCAGAGACAAAAAAACCTTCAAGGGTTTTGGTTCTAGTAAGCTGCTGGAGCCATTAAACACCACATAAGCATGATATTCAAGGATTCGGCCACACTAAAGGTTGGTTGGTTATTCCAGAGAAAACAGGGGAACCCTCTAAAAACCTATTAATAATTTATGTCTAGATATTCTCTACAAAGGAACTGTTTACAAGTCTTCCACTGAGACCTGCAGAGCTTATAGTTCAGACACAGTCTAATATAAATAAATAAATAAATATCGGAAATTCTGCAGTAGGTAGATAATTTATATCAGCTGGTAACGTTCAATTTCCAGATGGTATGTGGAACAAGCATCTCAGCTCTGCCTCTTCAGCTAGTTCCACTTAAAGTGAAGTCCTTGATCTTCACCAGTATGAGCATCTTACCTTCTCCTCATCCTGACAGGAAATGGAGTCCTCAAGATTTGGTGGCATATTCTCCTTCTGCTCAGATTTGTAATTCTTGAGTTCACTTTCACTGGCTTGAATCTCATTCTATAGAATAAAGCACTTGAAAGTTGACAGGTTCTTTTCTCCTAGGAAAGCACTTTTTTTCCATTTCTCTTAAAATCTTTTTAAAACTGTCTTCCTAGCAAATAGAGTCATAACTACAGGGAAGGGCATAAAAACCTACACATACTTTATAAGTGATTCTAATGAGGAGGAAAGATAGGGCTGTAGAATTTTACTCTGCTCCATGGGTATAATGCCAATGTTTTTCTAAAAAAACCCCTTCTCTACTTCCAGATTTCTGCTTAAAACCTCTTTCATTTCCCCCTGCTCACTCCCTATCTCCCCCTTCCAGAACAGTTAACCTTTCACTTGAAATTACAAGTATTTCAGGACAACCACTGTGTAAAGCGCTGTGTAACTGATGAATACAGTTCAACATAAAAGCAAGTTCTACCCTTGCTCCAACACCCGTCAAAACCCTAATTCTGTTATCTGCTAAGACTTTGTTCTTGAGAAACTGACTTAAGGTTTTCTCAAAAGAGCCTTTCAGACATTTAAAAAATATCCAGTGAAACCTCGTGCTTCCTTTTCCAATTATCTCGAATCCTGTGGCAGTGACTCGTGCCTTTCACAAGGCATCTTCTCTGTAACATGGAAGAGAAACAGCCAAATGCCAGCATCAGCAGCTTACTGGATTTTATAAACAGGTCTACACACACACACAAATCGTATCCAATAGGTATGTAATTGAATTTTAGTATTGGAACGTATGGGTCTGTAAATATATATCCCATCCATCATCTCTCCCTCCCCTTCTTGTATCACTTGCAATGCTATTAAAGGATTGCTTCTCACCCATACCCTAACCAGCTATAAAAAACGTCTATCAGTTTTAATCTGGCCCTAAATACATCACAATGCCCTCAAAATAGTTGTTCCCAAAAGAGATTATGGCTTTCTTTTGTAGCACCGATGTGACACATACTAGGAGAAGAGAAGTACAAATACCAAACTACCATATCAAAAGACCCGTAGTTCCTTCTGGCAGCAGGGAAGGAGGAAAAAAAGTTATGGCTTCTTTTGGAACACAGAAGTACTGCAAACACTGGCCTCAGCTGCAGTTGTTTGCTTCCATTTTACCTACTGTCCTTGTCAATGTGCCAGGCCAAAATCAAAAGAGATTCTGTCAAATAGAACATCCTAAGAGCACGGACTGATACTCAAACTGATAGTGTCTGAGCGTCATAAACAAGAGTCTCAAGAGATGCCTATGGTAAACGTCTTGCTATTAGGACGTAATTTAGTGGATCAGCTACAGCTCTGAGCCACAAACTGAAAAAGGTGATCTAGCCAACCAAACACAGGCGAGAAACAGGATGTAGAAGTCAGCCATTAGCAGTTAATCAGATTTGTTGCACTGGCTGCAGTTACTTTCCACTCATGACATGAAGTTTACTCAACTCTCTTCCCAAGGGCTGCAGAATTAGGCCCACACGGTATACGAAATGCAGGAATTGTTTCAGTTGGATAGACATTTTTGCATCTGTATATAGATACCCAAGAAGCTTGCGCTTTTCTAAAGCTTAGGACCAACATCTTTGGCTTCTATTGCCAGTGTAAGTTTTCTAACTTAAAAAGACCCAACCCCTTGGAATATATCGTTTTTGACCAGATTGATAAATGTAAACAATAAAAGTTCCCATCACTAAACAAAATATTTGGACAGTTCCAGCAGATGCACTTAAGCACTTTTTAACAAAAGCTTAGATTCTTGCAGTCTCTTCAGCTGTAATAGCTTACCATGATTCATTAATTGCTCATTTCCTGTTTAAATAGCTGCAAAATTGGCACAGGTTAGTTCACTGCAACAGAATAGTTGAGTTCATGCAATGGATGAGAAGACTCGAAGGGAGGTGCTAACAGAAGGGAGAAA